ATCCCCGGGACTACAAATGATCCTGAAACTCGGTTGGGGTTGAGCATCCCCGGAACATTTAATGATCCTGAAACTCGGTTGGGGTTGAGTATCCCCGGGATGCTAAATACTCCCAAAACTCGGTAGGATATTATGAATGTAGAATGTAGCTGGTGAGCTAGGCATTCGGGAAAAGGGTGAGAAAGGTCAGGTAAGAACTTTGTCTCTAAAAGACTCTTTGAATGAAATGACCCACGGGTCGAGTATTTTACATATATATATGTACAGTATGTATCATCGGATGAATGAGTCACATATATATATATGTATCACCCTATTTTTGGGTCTCGTGTCTGAAACATTAGTTATTCTTCATTTAGCCTGCTTGTCACTAGTACTTCTATGGAGTACTGACCCCTCCGGGGGCCCTCACATTTTTCAGGTTGAGGCTAGGGTCCTACTACCTGCACCTTTGCCTAGGGTGATCGATCGAGAAGGAAGACGTGGTTCGTGCTTCCATTCATATTTCAAATGTATAAACTGCTCATGGATTTTTGAACAATATTTTCATTAAAACAGTTGGGGGCCTGCGTGCCAGTGTTTGCCACGTGTGGCTATGTATCAAACATTTTATTATTTCCGCATTTGTTTGATTATGATATTGATGTTGATTGTATGCGTTTACTAATCGGTTTGGCAATAGAATCAATCGGACGCCTTGTGCAATCCCATAGGGATGAACTGTTGTTGTTCTTATCGGGTTGTACGACGGTTGTCTACGTGGCTCGGATGCGGTCCGGGGCGTGACAATATATATACCCAAATGATTGATAAATGTTTGAACAATAACCTATACAAAACAACATTTGGTTTGACAGCATCCATTAAAAGCATATATATATCCAAAACTTGAACAATAGGTATCACACAATCCATATGTATACACCTAACACAAATTACATGGCACTGTCATTTCAGAACTTGATAACATAATGTGAAGTTACTTCATAATATACCCAAAAGAACTTAGATTCCAATGTCATACAACAAGTTCATAACAATACACATGGCAAAGGTGTTTCTTACATAAGTTTCATTACAAAACACATGCTCATAAAAGGCATGATTGACGAGTACATAAAAGTGAACTGAAAACATAGCATAACTTCTAAACTACCCAGCTTCATCTCCCTAGACTCCATTAAAACATAGCACATCCTCACAACTGCATGATGACTTCTTTGCAGACACTCCATCCTTAGTGCTTTGGATCCTGAAATAAGTAATAACATCACAGTAAGTGTAAAGACAACACACTAAAGATTAGGTTACGGTAAAAATGAAGAACAAAATACTACCATTGAGGGTTGTGAACTTGAGGACCTAGTCACTCTTCTGGTTGCTGGGTGGGTGGTTGTGAACTGCTTATTCTTCTTTTCTTCTTTGTTCTTCCTTCACCCCTTTGGGAAACTGGATCATGGGCAATGGGAGTTGACATATGAAGAGTTTCATTATTGCCGGTCTGCTCTGGGTCATGAGAGGTTTGGTCAGCTGTGTGATCATCACCACCTAGGCTTGTTTGGGCAGATTTTTGCTTTCCTAACCTCTTTCTCCTTTGCCATGGTGTTTCTCCAGTTATGGATGTCTTACACCCTCTTACATTATGCCCCACTTGCTTACAATTGCCACATATGACCTGCTTACCTGCCCTAGACACCTTATAGGGATTCCTAGTTTCATCTGGTTGTTTAATCCTTTTTTTCTTGGGTCTTCCTGCAGGTTTTCTAGGAATTGGGGGCTCAATATCTGGAGTATCTGACCTCTCCCACTCATCTTTACTTAGTAGTGGATGGATTATGTGTTTATACACAGCCAAATAGGCGGATTTAGCATAAAAAGCACTCACATAGTCTTCATGTTTCTCTCTATTGGCATATATAGCAGACACTCCATGCTTACAAGGGATCCCATTCAAATCCCACCTTCGACATGTACAAGTGTTGTCTCTAAGATTAACCACATGGCTAGTGTCATAGAAATCAACCTCAAACAGCTTGTCTCCAGCAGGCGTAGAAAAACAATTCCTACTTTCAAATTTAAATTTTTCTAGTACATCTTGCTTATTAGGACAAATATCACCCTTATACTTAGTCATGGCAGTGTACTTGACATGAAATCTAGCCATCAACCTTCTTCTAATCCACAAATGTTATTCTGCAAAGCATCAGACTGTGCTTGGGTTGAAAAATGAGATCTGTTCCAAGTACTTGGGTCATACTGCATAATCCAGTTGTAAGCACCCTCATCAAACTTCTTTATTCCTTCCATCTGCCTCTCCCATGACCTCAGACTTCCAGTGCTAGCTGCAAACCACAACTTCTTTTTGTACTCAGCCCCTCTAAAGATTTTCTTGTAGTTCTCATACATGTGCTTCACACAGTATCTGTGTTCATTTGCAAGTGAAACAGCCTTGAATGCCTCAACTAAACCCTGAAAGAAGCTAGCAATTAAAAACACAGTATACAGAAATAAGTTATTCACATGTTTTATTAAACAAGAAATAAGTACTTTTTTATTACCTTTTGTTTGTCAGACATGAAAACCCATTTAGTTTCCTCTGGTCTGCCAAATTCTTCAAACAATACTTGCAAGAACCAAGTCCATGAAGCTTTATCTTCACTATCCACATATGCTATAGCAAGAGGAAACATGTTTTCATTTTAATCCCTTGCTACAGCACATAGTAGTTGCCCTCCCATCAGTGGCGGATCCAGGATGAGAACTTATTGGGGGCAGAAAAAAATGCATCACAAAAAAGATTAATAAAGTAGTAATGTAATATTACAATAATTAAAGTCTTACCAAATACATCACAATTGTTCGCGGCGAGTTTTCATCTTTTGAAAGAGATCCATTACAGTTTCATTTGTAACAGTTTCAAACACATCTCTTTCAATAAAACAAGTCAGACAATCACTAAAATACCTATCGCCAATTCTATTGCGCAAATTAGTCATCACTATTTTCATAGCGGAAAAGCATCTCTCTACGGTTGCTGTGGCAACTGGCAAAGTCAATGCTAACTTTAAAAGCTTATACACCAAAGGATGTGAAAGATGTTTCCTTGTATCCACCATCACTCGAGCAAGATCACCAAGACTTTTCAATCTAGCAAACCTTTCATCCGCTAACACATTGTCAATGTAAATACTGACTTGATGCTCAAGAGTTCTGCGTTCCACATAACTGAAGTCACTTGGATAAAATTCAGCCAATCTCAACAACTTTGAAGCATCAAACTCACGGAAGGAATCAATCGGACTCAAAGAGGCCATGCAAAGAAGTAGCTCAGAATTTACCTCATTGAAACGGTCATCAAATTCACTAATTTGCAAATCCATTATGGTATTAAAACATTCATACTCATAATGATGCCGATTAGTGATATTAGTTCTTTGACGTGGCCTCCTTGGGTTAACAAAGTCCTCATCCATATTAAGCACATAAATTTCATGCTTCTCACAAAATTCTAAGATCTTCCTCAAATGTGAATCCCATCCATCAGCTCTTACCTTAAGCAATTGTTGCTTTATTGTTTTCACAAGTGAAACAGCATTCAATATGTCTTGAGCTTTCTTTTGAAGAGCCACTGACAAAGAATTTGTGAGTCCCAAGATAAGCAACATCAACTGCAAATAAAACACAAATTTAAATGATTGAAAATATGTTAGAAGACCATTAGCCTGGCGTCTTTTCACACTGTCTACGCCCTCCACTTCAATGTACTCAAGGACTTGAACAACTGATGGAAACAGTTCAATCAAATTGAGAAGTGTTCTATAATGGGAACCCCAACGTGTATTTCCCGGTCTTTGAAGGGCTAGCTCCTGATTTAATCCTGTTCCGGTGCTAATTTCACCATTACTTATAGCTTCTTTAACTTTTTCTTGATGACTTTCTCGAATCATATCTCTCCTTTTGCAAGACGCTCCAACCACATTTAATAAAAGAGATATCATTTCAAAAAAATCACCAACATCAAAGTGTTTCTTCGAGACCGCCACAACAACTAATTGTAGTTGATGAGCAAAACAATGGATATAGTACGCCGAGCTACTTTCTTTCATGATTAAAGCTCTCAACCCATTGAACTCACCTTGCATATTTGTGACACCTCGAAAATTTTAAATAAGATAATTAAAATTTATTAGTTAGCAAAATGTTACGAAAGGAACATTTTAATAATTAAGTGGATCAAATAAAATTTTAACACAAGTGACATTTTTAATCAGATAAAAATGTTTCAATAATAAAAGTGACGACTTTATAATAATTAGGTTGAACAGATAGGACCTTGACTTAAATAACAAAAGTGACATTTTTGTAACAAGTGATAATTATACATATGACATAAATAATAAAAATGACATTTTAACAATTTTAATTCAAAACTATCGGTAAATAATATGTGTTCAAAAATAAGAATGAGTGGACTTTTCAAACAAATATATATACTTCGTACATGCATGCTCAACGAAATATATGCATAATAATATAAGGATTGATAAAATACAAATGTAATGCTGGTACGTACCACATATGACCTGCCTGCAATTCTTATATTCTACTACACAATAATATGGGTAACACTTAGGTGATACAATGAACCTAGAGAGTATAGACTATACATATTCATTATTCACAAACCTGATCCCTGAGCAACCAACCAACTCACATGCTTAGAGTAGCACACTTATCATGTATACGTACAATGATAATCAGAAGAGGCCAAAGAGTACACTCAGCATGGAGTCATGTATTTCAACGCACATTCACATGTATATGCTAGAGAAGAGCTGGCCTAATAACCTATGAACAACCAAACGTACACATATATCTACGTTCATATAATTATATATATATATATATATATATATATATATATATATATATATATATATATATATATATATATATATATATACCCAAGCTGCGGCCAACAATATATACTACGTATATAATATATACCAAAAACAATAGCTAAAAGACACCTTAAGACTTCTGGCCAGCGAGAGAAAGAGAGGTAAAGAGAGACCGAGAGGGAGTGTATCGCCACCGGAGGAAGAAAGATCTTGCCGGAATTGCAGCCGGACTAGTTTTCTGTGCCGGAGAGGGAGGGAACCGCCAGGTTGTGCCAGATACTGGACGGACAGTTGTGTCGCCACCTCGTTGGAGTGGAGAGTCCAGTCGGAACCATTTCCGTCGCACAACCCATCGCCACACCGGAGTGTCGCCGGACTGGTTATACGTGGAGTGGGACGACGCCGGCCAGGATCACTCGTGAACCAGGGCTGTCGGCCTGGTATTACATCCGAAGAGGAAGTCTCAGGGAGTTGCTGCAACGGTGCCACGTTTGCTGGTTCGCCACCGAACGACGGAGGGAGAAGCCGCCGGACTGGTTTTCACAATTGGAGAAGTAACTACTGTTGCTGCCAGACCACCTCGCTGCTACCAGGTCGGCCTGAGACGTCCTCTGTCGCCACTGTACCAACTCTCTTGTCATCAATAAGGTAAGCCGGCTACCCCTTGCATTTTTCCGGTGCTTGTGCGAAGAAGACAAAGTTATGTAGGGAGTAGTATATACGTACGTAGTTCATGCGAGCAGGCTGGCTAAGTGTTTATTTGGGGATTGGGGCTGAAATTTTATAAAACGACTGGGCTGAATGTTTAATAACAAAATTAAATATTATAAGTTGTGTGGGCTGATTATATTCATTTAGACCATTAACAATAATCATATAAACAACTGGACGGTTGAATCATTCGGTGGATTGAACTGGAATTGTACAAATGGCCAGGCCATATAAGTTTGCTAATGGTTAGGTTGGCCGATTACTTGTAAATACCGAACTACTACTAATAATAACAATAATAAATAAAATAATAATAATAATAAGCTGCAAATTGAATAAATTTGAGATGAGAAATATTGATGATGAAATTGGCTTGGTTTATTGATAGTAATCGTTTGGATAAATTTGTTAATTGTTATTTAACATAATTAGACGATGCTAAATGATAAAATGAATTGACGGTTTAACTAATAAAAACTTATAAATGAATATTATATTAAAATAATAGTTATTTATTTGGACTTAGTAACATGGGCAGATTAAATAAAATTGGATAGATATTATTTTTCACTAATTATTGAATTAATTGAAGTAGATTAATAGAATTAACATATTACGAGCTCGGTGTAGTTAATTTTGGATTATTTTAATGGATTAGTTAAGATGGACTAAATAAAGTCAATTAGAGAAATTTTATAATTCGGATCTATTATCTTTAATAATATACATTTCGGATCTAGTATTTTATAAGTATTAGATTAACAACAACAATTTTAATTGATGATAATAGTAAACTAATTATATATGCAGAGGTTGGATTAGTAATAGTAAATAAAAGAAAAGCCGAATCAAAAATAGTAAAGTAAGGAATGAAATTGATAGAAGAATTAAATTCGAATTATTGGCCTAGTGACTTGATCACTAAAAGTGAGTAATAATATAAACACGTATAATTAATTAATAATGTTAGTATATGCAAATAATAAAATAAAAAGTGGAAAATCGGATGAATTATTAATAAATAGAATAAGTGACTAATTATATCATCTTAATTAAAAAGGTGAATACATAGAGATCGGAATTGAGGAAGAGAATTAGGAGCATCGGATTTGAGGTAAGTTTCTCTGTCAATCCAAAATTGTTTCCTCGTATTATATGCTTATTATGCATTATGTGATTAAGTGTGAATTGTGAATTTTGTGTATGTGATTTTGAGAAGATATTATATATATGGTAGTTAAGAAGTATAAATCAAGTACTTTTGGGGTATTAAATATTTTTAAATACCTTTGAGACTATTTAGAGAAATTAAGAAGTATTTTTGAAGCATTGTTAAGCAAAGATAAAATTTACATTTTCATAAGAAGATAGCATCTCGGGAGTAATCCGAGGTGTCGGTTTTTCCACATCCGGATAAATGTGGAGGGTGATTAGAGCTACTACTACTAAGAAGTACAGTTTGGATCTATGATCCCTTTCAAGCAAGATTTGGATCTATGATCCCTTTTAAGTAAGATTTGGATCTATGATCCCTTTTAAGTGAGATTTGGATCTATGATCCCTTTTAAGAAGAAGTTATAGTAGTAGTCCCTAATCATTCAAGAATTTTAGAATTGGGGTGGTTGGGTTCCGACCACTCGGGATGACTTACTACTCGGAGGGCTTGGAATCCCTTTTAGGGGGTGTGCACACTTAAGGTAGTCGTTTCGTTTCCAACAGAGCAGTTGTGGTACCGGCATTTGTTCGGGGTGGCCGTCCGTAACCACGGTCCACCGGGCCCTACCGAAAGGTTAAGCACCGCCCTTCTAAATTACTAGGAAGTTAGAAAAGAAGTGATTTTCTTAAGAAGTTTAAAGAGAGGAGATACTAAGAAATTTTCCAAGAGAAGTTTAAGATTTTAGCAAAGAAGTGATTTTAAGAAAAATCAAGGAGAAAAGTATTTTGGAAGAGTGCGTCATTTTTATATGATATTATATAAACATCTATTTTTAGTCAAACCTGATTATTTTACGGGGTTGGGTAGTACTTACTTAGCTCTAAAGCTAATTTTTGTTTTCTTTTCTTTGTTTTGTTTTCTGCACTTTATTTGTGCAGGTGATGATGGCTATGTTGATTGTTGATTGCATGCGTCCGAGAGCGGTTGCTAGATGCCTTAGTAAAACCTAGACATGAATGAACATTTTAGTTACGTTGAACATTTGTTTCTTCATATCACAATTAATTATGACTGTTTTGTTTTAGTTGCCTGTGCATCCGGTTAAGAGATGACCGGTTGTGGCGGTAACACCCGTTTCCCTATTTAAATTATTTCCGCTGCAAGATTTTTATCAATTTCGAATGAATAAAGCAAGTTTATTATCAATAAATTATTATTTCAAGTATTATTTTTGGCCGGGAAATTAGGGGTGTTACAAATTGGTATCAGAGACTTTAGTTTTTCGAAGGGATTAGGACACGAGGTAATAGGTCGTAGGGAGAAATTCTGTCACAAAGACGACAATAGTCTAAGCTGGTTGGTGCATAATTGAGCCTTTGCGCTCGTCCAACTAACTGGGATTTTCTCCTTGTGCTGAAACTTCGTTGTTCAAAATCTTTGACGAAAACTATGGTCTCGAAGCGGGGATTTTCAAAATGTGTTCTTAAAAAAAACTAGGAGAATGAACATACTAGGAAATTTCCCTTTCTAGGAACGCGGTGAGAGGAGGAACCTTTGTGATACTATTGAATTATGAAATGCATGAGATTCATGCCTCTGTGAAGTATGTGGAATATGTGATACACTGTATGTGCTATCTGTTATAAGAATTTGAAGTTAGTAAAAAAAAAAAATTGTATGATGTAGAAGCCTTATGTATGCCTTAGTACTTAGTATTGGTTTTCTTTATTAAGAATCATGCCGCTAAGAAGAAACCCCCCTACAACCCCAACCGTTGAGGAGTTGGCCCAAACTATTCAACAAATGGCACGACATATCGGAGCGGCTCAACCCCAGAACAATGGGATTGACTACGCTACAAGGGTAGCCGGGCGTAACCCCCCGAAATATCTGGGCGAGGAGGACCATCTTATCCTGGAGGACTGGGTTCGTACCTTTGACAAACTCTTTGACTCCCTCACCTGCCCGTGGGAGCAACGAGTAAATATTGCGGTGTATTACCTACACCAAGAAGCTGACCATTGGTGGGCCGCCAATGGACCAACATTTCTCGAGCAACCGGGCTTTTGCTGGGAGGACTTCAAAGTAGCACTACGTGACCGCTTCTACCCCGATCACGTGAAAGAGGCAAATTATGATGAATTCGTCAATTTCAAGCAAAGTGACCTGACTGTTCAGGAGTACCACACGAAGTTCGTCCAATTGGCTCGTTTCGCCAAAGACCTGGTGTCAACAGAGGGCAGTATGACACGCAGATTTGTTAATGGGCTTAACTACGGTGCCCAAAAGTTTGTGACTGTAGCAGAGCCACGAAATCTGAACGAAGCATATAGGAAGGCTGGTAAGTACTACATGGTACACCAGAAGGAGAGGGAGGCGCATAAGAGGGATCGGAAGAATGCTGAGGTGGGTCAGCAACAAAAGAAGGCCAGAACCGACCACCTTGAACAAAGGCAAATCAATCAAGGTGGAGGAAATTTCCAAAACCAGGGGCAGGGGAGAAACCAGCCAACTCAAATGCGACACCATAGATGCAAATTATGCCCAAACAACCATCCCGGGAAGGATTGTGCGGGAAATGCGGTGAGGTGTCGCAACTGTAACCTCTTGGGGCATCGGGCATACGAGTGCAGGAAACCCACGAACCAGGGACAAAACCAGGGAAACAACCAAGCCGAGGGTGGGGTTAATCACGCCAACAACAACCGTGGTAATCCTGGAAACCGCCCAGCGGAGGCCAACCGTAATCAAGGCCAGGGAGGGCAGAACAACACCCAGGGCCGGATTTACGTCATGAACCAGGCTCAAGCAAATGTGCACGATGTGGTATCAGGTACCTTCCTTGTAAATTCCACACCTGCTTATGTACTATTTGATTCGGGTGCTTCCCACAGTTTTATAGCCTCAAAATTTGTGGAAAAGTCAAAGTTAGAACCTAGTTCTAAACTTAATCTTAATGTTAAAACGGCATCCAACAAAGTTGTAGCGTGTGGGAATGTTTTCTCCAATATTTCCATAGTCATATGCGATACTGAACTACACGGAGATCTAATCCAGTTTGAGTTAGAGGATATCAACGTGGTGTTGGGTATGGACTGGCTAGGGAAATATAAAGCCAAAATCCTATGTGATGAACAAAAGGTGGTCTTGAGAGGACCCAATAAGAAACGTATATCCTACAAAACGGTCACATCTAAGCCAGGCGTGAAGCTGGCAACCATGCGACAAGTCAAACGATACGTCCGGAAGGGGTATGAGGTTTTCTTGTGCATGATCAAAGACTTGACGTCCGAGGATCCAAGCATTGACCAAATCCCTGTGGTCAATGAATTTCCGGACGTGTTTCCAGAAGAAATTCCGGGGATGCCGCCAGTGAGGGAAGTTGAGTTTTCAATAGATCTAATGCCAGGCACCGCACCCATCTCAAAAGCACCATACCGAATGGCACCGAAGGAGATGCAAGAGCTAAAAGAACAACTCGAGGAACTGTTGGGGAAGGGTTACATCAAACCGAGTGTCTCACCTTGGGGCGCTCCGGTCTTATTTGTGAAGAAGAAGGATGGGAGTCTGAGACTCTGCATCGATTACAGGGAGCTGAACAACGCGACCATCAAAAACAAGTACATGCTACCTCGCATTGATGACCTGTTCGATCAACTGAAGGGAGCGGGTATATTTTCCAAGATTGATCTTCGATCCGGCTACCATCAGGTGAGGATCGCAGAGAAAGATATACCGAAGACTGCATTTCGTACAAGATATGGGCATTATGAGTTCACCGTGATGCCGTTTGGTTTAACCAACGCACCAGCAGTATTCATGGACCTAATGAACCGTGTATTTCGCCCATACCTTGATACATTTGTGGTAGTGTTTATTGATGATATTTTGGTGTACTCGAAGAACGAGAAAGATCACGAAGAGCATCTAAGGCTCGTCCTGCAGACTTTGAGAGAAAATCAGCTTTACGCCAAGCTCTCAAAGTGTGATTTCTGGAAGGACCGGGTCGCATTCTTGGGCCATATCATCACTCAAGAAGGTGTATCCGTTGACCCATCCAAGATCGAAGCAGAGATAGACTGGCCTGCACCCACAACCGTGACGGAGGTCCGGAGCTTTCTAGGTTTGGCAGGCTATTATCGCAGATTCGTGAAGGATTTCTCAAAGATAGCAAAGCCTTTGACTAATCTCACGAAGAAGACCACGAAGTTCATATGGAGTGATGAGTGCAAGAAAGCTTTCCAAGAGCTGAAGCAGAGATTAACAACTGCACCTATCTTGACCCTACCATCTGGGACTGAAGGGTTCGAGATTTACACCGATGTTTGTTTAAAGGGATTGGGTTGCGTATTGATGCAAAACGGCAAAGTGGTGGCCTATGCATCAAGGCAACTGAAGATACATGAGGTCAACTATCCGACTCATGACTTAGAACTGGCAGCGGTTATCTTTGCTCTAAAGTTGTGGAGGCACTATCTCTATGGGGTACACTGTAAAGTTTACACCGATCACAAGAGCCTGAAGTACATCTTCACCCAAAAGGAGCTTAACATGAGACAGAGACGCTGGCTAGAACTCGTCAAAGACTACGACTTGGAGATCCAGTACCATGAAGGGAAAGCAAACGTAGTTGCCGACGCGTTGAGCCGAAAATCAACTCACTCCTGCAAAGCAACATGGATACTTCCCGATGAGCTATATCGGGACTTTCAGAAGCTAGACTTGGAAGTTCGGGATTTCGGAGAGGTAGATCAGGAAACGCGGTTACTCACCATGACCGTTACCCCATCTATTTTCGACGAAATTAGAGAAGGGCAGCCTGGTGACATAAAGCTGGACAGAATCCGAGCAGGCATGACAAATGGTGTAAATGGACCGTTCGAACTGCACGAAGACGGGAGCATTCGACACAAAGGAAGGTGGTGTGTCCCGATGAAATGTGAAGAACTTAAGAAGAAAATTATGGAGGAAGGGCACAACACGCCTTACTCGGTGCACCCTGGAGGCGACAAACTCTACAAAGACATCAAAAAGAACTTTTGGTGGCCAAAGATGAAGAAAGAGGTAGCTGAATTCGTTGCTCGATGCTTGAACTGCCAGAAGGTGAAAGCCGAACGTTGCAAACCCAAGGGACTCGTACAACCTTTGGAGGTGACAAAATGGAAATGGGATTCTATCTCCATGGACTTTGTTGGGGGCTTACCCCTAACCAAGTCTGGCAAAGACAAGGTTTGGGTTATAGTTGATCGGTTAACGAAGACCGCTCGCTTTATCCCGATGAAAGAGACCTGGAGCATGGAGGAGTTAGCTCGAGCCTACATCAAACACGTAGTTAAATACCATGGAGTTCCACAAGATATTGTTTCTGACCGTGATTCTAGGTTTCTATCTCAATTCTGGAAGGAATTGCAAGCTGCTCTGGGGACGAAACTGAAGCTGAGTACAGCCTTTCACCCAACCACTGATGGACAAACTGAGCGAACAATCCAAACACTCGAGGACATGCTGAGAGCATGTATGTTAGACCTACAAGGGTCGTGGGACGAGCATTTAGACTTAATAGAGTTTTCGTACAACAATAGCTACCACGCCAGTATCAAAATGGCCCCGTACGAAGCTTTATACGGTCAAAAGTGTAGAAGTCCACTATACTGGAGCGACTTAACAGACAAGGTGGTGCTAGGGCCAGAATACCTACATGACACCATAGAGAAGGTGAAGCTGATTCAAGGCAGGATGAAAGCTGCACAAGATCGTCAGAAGTCTTACGCAGACTTGGGGAGGAAGCCAGCCGAATTCGAGGTGGGAGAAAAAGTCCTACTCAAAGTCTCCCCGACGAAGGGAGTAATGAGATTCGGAAAGAAGGGAAAGCTAAGCCCAAGGTTCATCGGCCCGTATGATATCCTTGAACGAGTGGGACGATTGGCATACCGTTTAGCTTTACCGATAGAGTTGGCTAAGGTAAGACACACCTTAAAACCTCTCAATAGTAAATATAATAGTAATGCCTCTCAAATACTAACTTGTGATATACTTAGGTACACAACGTTTTCCATATTTCACAATTGAAGAAGTATGTCCGCGACGAATCACATATCCTTAACCCTGAGGTACAAATAATCACCTTACAATATTCGTAATCAAATTCCACATGTCTAACATCGACTTAATTAGGTGGTCGAGTTGGACGAAACATTGACTTATGAGGAAACGCCTATCCAGATCCTTGATACCAAAACTCGTGAGACTAGGAGAAAGTCAGTTAAAATGGTAAAGGTATTGTGGTGTAACCACTTGGCCGAAAACGCCACTTGGGAGTCCGAAGATGATATGCGCAACCGTTATCCAGAGTTATTTGACTAAGGTAACGTTTTGGTTACGAGAACGTAACCTTGTTTTTAGAGGGGTAGAATGTAATACCAGTTAAATTATAGGATATTTTATTAGCTTATGCTTCGGGACGAAGCATCTTTAAGGGGGGTAGAATATGACACTCCATAAACTTAATAAAAAGAATTTAATATTAAAGATGTGATATTCATTTGTGGATAAATCTTCTTTAGTTTATGTTTCGGGACGAAACATCTTCTAAGAACGGTAGAATGTGACACCTCGAAAATTTTAAATAAGATAATTAAAATTTATTAGTTAGCAAAATGTTACGAAAGGAACATTTTAATAATTAAGTGGATCAAATAAAATTTTAACAGAAGTGACATTTTTAATCAGATAAAAATGTTTCAATAATAAAAGTGACGACTTTATAATAATTAGGTTGAACAGATAGGACCTTGACTTAAATAACAAAAGTGACATTTTTGTAACAAGTGATAATTATACATATGACATAAATAATAAAAATGACATTTTAACAATTTTAATTCAAAACTATCGGTAAATAATATGTGTTCAAAAATAAGAATGAGTGGACTTTTCAAACAAATATATATACTTCGTACATGCATGCTCAACGAAATATATGCATAATAATATAAGGATTGATAAAATACAAATGTAATGCTGATACGTACCACATATGACCTGCCTGCAATTCTTATATTCTACTACACAATAATATGGGTAACACTTAGGTGATACAATGAACCTAGAGAGTATAGACTATACATATTCATTATTCACAAACCTGATCCCTGAGCAACCAACCAACTCACATGCTTAGAGTAGCACACTTAGCATGTATACGTACAATGATAATCAGAAGAGGCCAAAGAGTACACTCAGCATGGAGTCATGTATTTCAACGCACATTCACATGTATATGCTAGAGAAGAGCTGACCTAATAACCTATGAACAACCAAACGTACACATATATCTACGTTCATATAATTATATATATATATATATATATATATATACCCAAGCTGCGGCCAACAATATATACTACGTATATAATATATACCAAAAACAATAGCTAAAAGACACCTTAAGACTTCTGGCCAGCGAGAGAAAAAGAGGTAAAGAGAGACCGAGAGGGAGTGTATCGCCACCGGAGGAAGAAAGATCTTGCCGGAATTGCAGCCTGACTAGTTTTCTGTGCCGGAGAGGGAGGGAACCGCCAGGTTGTGCCAGATACTGGACGGACAGTTGTGTCGCCACCTCGTTGGAGTGGAGAGTCCAGTCGGAACCGTTTCCGTCGCACAACCCATCGCCACACCGGAGTGTCGCCGGACTGGTTATACGTGGAGTGGGACGACGCCGGCCAGGATCACTCGTGAACCAGGGCTGTCGGCCTGGTATTACATCCGAAGAGGAAGTCTCAGGGAGTTGCTGCAACGGTGCCACGTTTGCTGGTTCGCCACCGAACGACGGAGGGAGAAGCCGCCGGACTGGTTTTCACAATTGGAGAAGTAACTACTGTTGCTGCCAGACCACCTCGCTGCTACCAGGTCGGCCTGAGACGTCCTCTGTCGCCACTGTACCAACTCTCTTGTCATCAATAAGGTAAGCCGGCTACCCCTTGCATTTTTCCGGTGCTTGTGCGAAGAAGACAAAGTTATGTAGGGAGTAGTATATACGTACGTAGTTCATGCGAGCAGGCTGGCTAAGTGTTTATTTGGGGATTGGGGCTGAAATTTTATAAAACGACTGGGCTGAATGTTTAATAACAAAATTAAATATTATAAGTTGTGTGGGCTGATTATATTCATTTAGACCATTAACAATAATCATATAAACAACTGGACGGTTGAATCATTCGGTGGATTGAACTGGAATTGTACAAATGGCCAGGCCATATAAGTTTGCTAATGGTTAGGTTGGCCGATTACTTGTAAATACCGAACTACTACTAATAATAACAATAATAAATAAAATAATAATAATAATAAGCTGCAAATTGAATAAATTTGAGATGAGAAATATTGATGATGAAATTGGCTTGGTTTATTGATAGTAATCGTTTGGATAAATTTGTTAATTGTTATTTTACATAATTAGACGATGCTAAATGATAAAATGAATTGACGGTTTAACTAATAAAAACTTATAAATGAATATTATATTAAAATAATAGTTATTTATTTGGACTTAGTAACATGGGCAGATTAAATAAAATTGGATAGATATTATTTTTCACTAATTATTGAATTAATTGAAGTAGATTAATAGAATTAACATATTACGAGCTCGGTGTAGTTAATTTTGGATTATTTTAATGGATTAGTTAAGATGGACTAAATAAAGTCAATTAGAGAAATTTTATAATTCGGATCTATTATCTTTAATAATATACATTTCGATCTAGTATTTTATAAGTATTAGATTAACAACAACAATTTTAATTGATGATAATAGTAAACTAATTATATATGCAGAGGTTGGATTAGTAATAGTAAATAAAAGAAAAGCCGAATCAAAAATAGTAAAGTAAGGAATGAAATTGATAGAAGAATTAAATTTGAATTATTGGCCTAGTGACTTGATCACTAAAAGTGAGTAATAATATAAACACGTATAATTAATTAATAATGTTAGTATATGCAAATAATAAAATAAAAAGTGGAAAATCGGATGAATTATTAACAAATAGAATAAGTGACTAATTATATCATCTTAATTAAAAAGGTGAATACATAGAGATCGGAATTGAGGAAGAGAATTAGGAGCATCGGATTTGAGGTAACTTTCTCTGCCAATCCAAAATTGTTTCCTCGTATTATATGCTTATTATGCATTATGTGATTAAGTGTGAATTGTGAATTTTGTGTATGTGATTTTGAGAAGATATTATATATATGGTAGTTAAGAAGTATAAATCAAGTACTTTTGGGGTATTAAATATTTTTAAATACCTTTGAGACTATTTAGAGAAATTAAGAAGTATTTTTGAAGTATTGTTAAGCAAAGATAAAATTTACATTTTCATAAGAAGATAGCATCTCGGGAGTAATCCGAGGTGTCGGTTTTTCCACATCCGGATAAATGTGGAGGGTGATTAGAGCTACTACTACTAAGAAGTACAGTTTGGATCTATGATCCCTTTCAAGCAAGATTTGGATCTATGATCCCTTTTAAGTAAGATTTGGATCTATGATCCCTTTTAAGTGAGATTTGGATCTATGATCCCTTTTAAGAAGAAGTTATAGTAGTAGTCCCTAATCATTCAAGAATTTTAGAATTGGGGTGGTTGGGTTCCGACCACTCGGGATGACTTACTACTCGGAGGGCTTGGAATCCCTTTTAGGGGGTGTGCACACTTAAGGTAGTCGTTTCGTTTCCAACAGAGCAGTTGTGGTACCGGCATTTGTTCGGGGTGGCCGTCCGTAACCACGGTCCACCGGGCCCTACCGAAAGGTTAAGCACCGCCCTTCTAAATTACTAGGAAGTTAGAAAAGAAGTGATTTTCTTAAGAAGTTTAAAGAGAGGAGATACTAAGAAATTTTCCAAGAGAAGTTTAAGATTTTAGCAAAGAAGTGATTTTAAGAAAAATCAAGGAGAAAAGTATTTTGGAAGAGTGCGTCATTTTTATATGATATTATATAAAAATCTATTTTTAGTCAAACCTGATTATTTTACGGGGTTGGGTAGTACTTACTTAGCTCTAAAGCTAATTTTTGTTTTCTTTTCTTTGTTTTGTTTTCTGCACTTTATTTGTGCAGGTGATGATGGCTATGTTGATTGTTGATTGCATGCGTCCGAGAGCGGTTGCTAGATGCCTTAGTAAAACCTAGACATGAATGAACATTTTAGTTACGTTGAACATTTGTTTCTTCATATCACAATTAATTATGACTGTTTTGTTTTAGTTGCCTGTGCATCCGGTTAAGAGATGACCGGTTGTGGCGGTAACACCCGTTTCCCTATTTAAATTATTTCCGCTGCAAGATTTTTATCAATTTCGAATGAATAAAGCAAGTTTATTATCAATAAATTATTATTTCAAGTATTATTTTTGGCCGGGAAATTAGAGGTGTTACAATATTGCTTGCACCGTCGTACCCTTGGCCTCTAACATTTTTCAAACTCAGGCCATATTCAGAAAATACAGAATCAATAGCAGATTTAAGAGACAAAGAAGATGTATCCTTCACATGAACAACACCAATAAATCTTTCTTTAACTATGCCACACCGATCAACGTACCTCAACACCATAGCCAATTGCTCCTTGTAAGACACATCACTAGACTCATCAACAAACAAACTAAACACATCATCACCTATCTCCTTAAGCACAGAGTGAACAACTTCCTGTGCAAAAAATTAGCAATGTCTTTTTGAATGCTAGGAGCAACAACTTGATTATTTCCTGGAGCATTTTTCAATACAACCTTACTCACAGCATCATTTTGACTAGCAGTATATTTTACTAGTTCCAGAAAATTGCCTCTATTATTGGACTCTTCAGATTCATCATGACCACGATAAGGCAGTTCTTGATGCAATAAAAATCTTGAAACATCAATAGAAGCATTCAAACGAATACGATATTCATTCTTCACAATTTCACTTTGTCTATGCAAAGCAACAACAATTGACTTGTCTTGGTTCATTAAATCATCACATTTTTTAAGTGCCTTATCGTGGAAACTATTTATATTACCCACATGAGAAGCTAATCGCTCCGTTTTATTCCAACTTGAGAACCCTTCAGTTACAAATGCATCATTCCCAACACGATTCTCAAAGTGATCTCTAAACAAGTAACAAGGCAAACAAAAGGCTTTGTCATCTTGTATACTATATTAATTCTAACCAATTAGGATATTGATCAAACCATTTAGAGTTGAAGCGTCTTAAAGTCTTCCCAATCTCTTTTTGTGGGAAGTCATGACCACGTGGTTGACAGGGTCCTTTAATCAAATATTTTCTCCTGATTTCATCTATTTGATTAGGATGGTACTCAGAAATTTTTCTTCTTTTTGCGGGATCTGAGGGAAGCTCATCCAAATCAACTTGTTTATGTATTGATGAAGAACATTGAGATGCAATATTTGAAGCATTATTATTTGAACTACCCGGTGAAGGAACGGTAGCCCAATATCTCTTCATTGAGTATTTGAGTCTGGAAAAGAAGTTAAACTAAAATTAACTGTTTTAATACATTCATACATTTCATTTAACTACCTAAAATAATATATATTTTACATTTAGGGTTTCTACTTTCTAATAGTATAAAACATTCTAAAATTGAATTAATTAACAATTTCAGTAGCTCATCAGCTATATTAAATCTAATTGAACCTTCTAAAATATTTAATCTATGATGTGAATAAATTTAAAACACTATAATTATTAATTAGTTAAATATACTAATATGTATATAATTACTAAATATTAACTACACAAATACACCATAGGAAAGTAATCAACACTCCAAATCAACACTCCAAATCAAGTAATCAACACACCGTAATTGATAAAATATGACAAATTAAAGTGAAAAGGCTTACCTAGTTTTGATTTCCGGCTTGGAGTTGGCTAAATGGCTTCTGCAGTTCTGCCGACTGCCGTTCTGGACCTTCTGGTTCAGTGGTTCTGCGGCCGAGTTCTTCAGGTCGGTGGTCGCCTGGTCGGAGCAAGGAGGTTTTGGCCTTCTGGCTTCTGCGTCTGCGGCTGAGCGGCTCCGTAGTCTGCGCAAGGGGTAGAGAGTCGGGGCTAAGGGGCTTGGCATTTGCCGATCTGCGGAGTGCGGACTAACCCCTTTTCTTGGAACGGGCTGGAAGATTTTGGGTTATTAGGGGCAGGCCATTTTTTTAATTGGGGGCAAACAGCTGGGCTTTTAATATTTTTTAAAAAATTAAAAGGGTTTAATGGGCCTTTATTGGGGGCAGCTGCCCCCCCCCCCCCCCCCCCCCGGGGCCTTAGTGGATCCGCCCCTGCCTCCCATAGGTGTTTTCAAATGGCAGCCATCTAACCCAATTAAGGGTCTAAGACCTGCAAAATACCCCTGCTTCTGTGCACTAAATCTCACGTACATGTACCGAAGCATCAGAATTTCCTTGGGCATTCTTGGACCACCCTCTGCATTAGCACCTTCTACAATCTCATCCCTAGCTTCAGTTTTTATTTTGACTACACTCCCAGGATTGAATTTAACTACGGTCTCTGCATAATCCCTCAACCTCCTATATTGTTCTTTTATGTCCCCTTGAATCTTTGCCTTTACCTTTCTTCTAGCTCTATAACACTTTTCCAGACTTACCTCAGCCCTTAATTGTCTTTGCACTGACTTTTGCATAGCACTGACATCCCATTCAGGATTTTCCCTCAATTCATCCATGTACTTTTTAGCTAAATATGTACTATTGACCAAGATGTTTCTATTACTAAAAGGGCATTCATGTTTTGGCCTAAATGTCTTAATCTGAAAGGACCCACACTCAGGAAGTTTAGAAGCATGAACTCTGAAAGAACATATGTCCTTGTTTTTGCATACCACAGTGATTTTAGATCTATTGTTCTTCACAAATTTAAATTCAAATCCACCCTTGACAGCCCAATCCTTAAGAGCATTTCTAAAGGAGGTATGTGTACTAAATTTCAAACCTTTGCACAATTCTGAATGTGTAGCACCTGTTTCTTCATTGAACTCTTCATATTTGGCATCACCTTCATCAAATCCTACAATGCTATGCAGGTCATCACTATAGCAGGGCCTCTCATTAAACTCCTCAAGCTGCTCTTCATTCAGATCCTCAAGCCCAAAAGTGTTGGGTTGTGAAGGTGGTTCAGGATCTCCTTGTGGTTGTTGGTTTAATGTTGCACTTTCAAGATTAAAGACATCATCTTCACTCCCTTCTAGTTCTTCTTGGGATAGCCAGCTAGCTTCACTGATATTGGGATCTCCTTCTTGGGAATGCTCCCCTGAAGCACTTTCAGAACCACTTTGAATTACACAGTCTTCATCTTCCTCATCACTCTCTAATTTTGTTTCCACAAATGTAGTTGATACACCCACAAATTGATGTGCATCTAGAGGTTGTGGTACTGCAGGTTGGTCTTTACTTGGTGTTGTACTTGGGACAGAACTTTGGGTTTCCTGTGAGGATTGGGTTGTATGTTGTGGTAAAGTACCCACCACCCGTTTGTTACTAGTGTTTGCAACAAAGTACAAGTCAACATGTGGGTCCATGATGTTACACACCAGCATGTCTTTGACATCTTTATCACATACTATCTCTTGCAAATTTACTGGCCCACACAACTCCCTTATTGAGAATCTTCTGAACCACATTTGGACCCCATTTGTATAACCCAAATCTTTTGCATACCCATCTAATTCAAACTTGTTCAAATAGTCAATGTCAACTTTTTGTTTAAACAAAACCTACCCCCCCACATACGTTTTCTTTTGTCTTGGACAGTCCCACATTCCACCATGATGAATTTTCAAATTCATGTAATCACTCATTCCCAACCTGCAAATACATTGAATGCGAACAACCTAAACATCCCAAACCATAAAAACATGACAACTTAAAGTGCTACTCTGCAAAACTACCAACCGGGTTTCAAAACAAACCCATTCACACATTAATACACCAACCAACCAGGTTTCAAAACACCATTGACGGTGTAACCTAAAACTCTAAAGACGACCAGTCCTTTGCTCAAAATAAAGACCATTGACGGTGTAACTTCAAAATAAATAATAGTTGTACTTACTCTGACCTCAGGACGTTAACACGAAAGTAGCTAAACTTCCATACCCCAGTCCGTGACTTCTTGTCCTTTGTCTGCTGCGACCAACAGTTATTCTTCTTTCCAAATGCAGGTGAAGAACCAATGTCAGGAAGAACTTACGATTGCGCCTAAATCGTATTTTATTAATCCCTAATTTGACTTAAGCTTTTGATTTTTTAAGAATTCAGTTATTTGCTCTCCATTGGCCACGCTGGAGCCTATTTGGAAAAAAATATATGCCACGTCGCATTTAACTAACGGCCAGGTCCAATAGACCCCACGGGTGGTAACGGTAGCAAAACACGAGGCTGCGTTTGTTACAAAGATCATCACAGACCCCTAAGTAAAAACACCCACAACCACAGGTATCTAATCCGTACTTTTCTCTATTAAATTAATACAGTAAGATTAGGGATGGACTAAACCGGGCCGGCTCGACCCAGAACCGGCCCGTTACTGTTTGGGCCCGGACCGGACCGGGACCAGTTGTCCGGTTCCGGGCTTTTAGCCCGTTTGGGCGGGCCGGGCTCGGGCCCAACTTTTGGTGAACCGGCCTGGGCGGTTCGTGCCGGGCCCGGTTCAATTTTTTTTCAATTTTTTTTGCTTTTCTAGGTTAGGGTTTGGTGTTTTGGAGGGGATTTGGAGGGTGGGGTGAAGGGGGGGTCGGGTGTTAATTAGAAACCAAAAAAAAAATTGAACTTGACCCGAGCCCGACCCGGCCCAGCCCGGTTAGGCCCAGACCCGGTATCAAACCAGGCCGGTTCCGAGCCCAACATTTTGGAAAAAAAGCCCGCCCGGGCCCAGCCCGGAACCGGAACCGGACCGGCCCGGGTCCATCCCTATGTAAGATAAAGTAAGAATAATTTAAAACCGCCCAAACTTTATCAAATTTGATACTTCCTCCGTCCCATAATCAACTTTGATTTTGACTGGGCACAAGGGTTAAAATAGTGGGAATTGTGTGGTGGAGAGTTGTGCAAAGGAGAAAGAAACATGTAAGAATGGTTGTGAACCACATATTCTTTATTAAAAAGGGAAAGAAGAGATAAATTTGGGACGAAACGAAAAAGAAAGAAGATAATTTTGGGACGGTGGGAGTATGAGATAGTCGTGAAACAAATCAAAAACTATTAATTCTTTTAAATTTGATACTGGATGTAACACACACACATCTGACATCTATTGATCAAGGTTCACTTTATCTTGGAAGGAAATGGATCCCAAGCAGGGACGTATTAAAA